AGACTCAGAGTCTCATAGTCAGAAACACAAACACACACAGATACAGGGACGTACAGGGACACGGAGGGCCTCTAGCCCTCCTCAGCCTCCGGGGACCTCCTCACCTGGCCCAAGTGACAGCCCGCTCCTCCTGCCAGCCAGGGGGCAGCACTTGGTCAGCCATGGAGTGGATCTGCAGCCGGTAGCTGCGCTTGTGGCCCCAGGGGTTCTTCTTGGGGCTGGTGAAGAGCAGGTACTTGGGCAGAGTGCGCCTGAAGTGGAAGGCCGCCTGGCGCTCCCGGGGGTACCTGGTCTGCTCTAGAGTTGGCTGGACCAGGTGGTGTGTTGGGCTCCAGGGGTTGGTGATGTTTTCTAGCTTCATCCTCAGGGTCTGGAAGCTGTTCTTGGTGCCTGCAGGTGTCCAGGGAGACGGAGGAGCATTAAGCCCCCTGAATGGAAACACCCTCATCCTGCTCTGGGATCTTCATTCCAGACCACATGCGACAGCAAACCATCAGGGGTGAAGTGCATGTTGGAGGTACACACCGAGCTAGCTTGGGGTGGAAGGAAGGGATTAAAAACACAAACGACAGAGGAACCAGAAGACAATTCAGTGCCAGTCATGGCAGCTGCAGTGATTCTGTTGTGACCCTAGGCAGTTCCTCTTGAGACCTGTGCCCCAAGCGCGTGGGCTGCAGCTGCAGCCCTAGAGAAGGAGGGGCAGCCTGGCCCCAGGCGGGGACCGTGTGTGGACCGTGTCCAGCGCCCTCTGTGCCCAGGGCTGTGAATGGGGCTGAGCAGGTTGGGGAAGCCACTATATGGTCCTGGGGGCCTCTTCTGACGTGTGATTTGATACTACCTCCTGTCATTGTGCCTATGCCATGGTGACACCATTAATCCAAGAGACAGAATGAGTATTCCCAGATGACATTGCATTCACCTCAAAGTGCTAGGCAGCCGTGACATTTCTTACATTCCTAGGCCTTTCCCCCTCCCCTGCCCTGAGGGTACCTTTCTACCTAACCCCCCTCTAGCGGGTCAACCCAGCCCCAGGGCAAGGACAGGGTCTGCCCTGGCCACATCCAGGGCGATACTTGCACTGTATTCGCTTTCACCACTTTTCAGGGGCACAGGGATTCCAGCCCTGCAGGTTTCAGCAGCAGGCTGGGCAAATGCTCCTGATTTTATGGCTCCAGGGGGGTAGCACCATCTCCTGGGAGTGAGAATCAGTGCTCGGATATGCATGTTTGACCGGGAGGGCGGTTCCCAGCCGAGCCCTACCTGCCACATCCAGGTCGACGCGGTAGTGCACCAAGTGAGTGTGCATGTTGCCGATCAGGTGCGTGTGCAGGCGGGTCCCGTGGCGCAGCCCCTCGGGGGTGTAGAAGGTGGCGTGGACGTAGCCGGTGGCATGCATCTTGGCCTCCATCACCCCGTTGGGGTAGAAAATGAAGTCCCAAATGTAGTCATAATTGTAGACTGTGGAAGTCGTTCTCAGCACCAGCACCTGACCCTTGAGCCCTGCATAGAAGTTGAAGCCACTGTCGAAGTTGGAATTAAAGTGCCTTCGGAGGGGCACCCCCGTGGGCATCTCAAAGAGACAGAGGGCTCGGGGGTAGCGGATGGGGTCGTCAGCATCGTAGTAGTGGAGAGCGTCCAGGAAGGTGGCTATGTCCGGGCAGTCGATGCCAGGGGCCAACTCATGAGTGACGGTGCCCAAGCCCCAGCCCACATCGATGTACTTGGTCTGCATGCCCGCAGGTGTGTGGCCTCCGTACAATGCCACGGCCTCTTGCACACTCACCTCATAGGCTATGCGCTCCCCGCCAAAGTGCACGTTCAGGACCTGCAGCCCCGTGGAGGACCTCAGCCTGAAGGAGAAACTCCAGCCCCCATAGAGCACGGTATTGCCCTCCAGCTTGTAACCAGGGCCCTGGGGCTGGACCAGGCGGGGGCCGTGCCCAGTGATGGGGCTGGGGAAGTCCCCGCGTGGCTTGTAGGAGGAGAAGAGGGGTGGATCCTTCATGCTCTCTGCCCCCTTCCCCTTGGGTAGGGGGTCCTCCAGGACCACCACGTCAACCTCTCCATTCTTGTACTTCCGTGCCAGTTCTTCCGGGCTCTGGTAGAACTTCCCGTTGTACCAGACCTGCTCCACTGTCCAGTCCTGGGCGTTGGTGCTGCTGTGGTCTACGAGAAGCTCCAGCCCAGTGGGGTGCAAGAAGTAGCCCTCTACATAGCGCTGTAAAATAAACCAGGTGCGGCGCTCGCCGGAGGCCAAGCCCCGGGGCGCCACATCCGTGAAAGTCAGGCACCGAAGCTGGCAGTTATGGAAGGAGAAACCCGTGGTGTCAAGAAAAAATTGGTGCAGGGGCTTGGTGGCTTCTTGCAGGGCGTGGTTCAGTAGGACGTACTCCACCGAGGAGATGGGCCTGGAGGCCCAGGAGGCCCGGTGCCCAGGCCTGGGTGGCAGCTCGCGCAGGTAGTAGGGCTGTGGCAGGGGCCCCACAGCAAACTCGGTGATGTTGGGATGCTCCTGGGCTCCGAAGAAGACGACGGCACGCGCCTCCCGAACGGGACGCCTTTGACCGTTGTCCAGAAATTTCAGCACTTGCTGCTTCTTGGGCAGCAGCATCTCAAGGAGGAACACAGAGTTCTTGGCGATGGTTGACGCTCTGGAGGGCTCCAGCCTCAGCTCCTTCCGGGACCAGAGGAAGCTTTGCACGGCCTTCAGCTCTTGGGCACTCAGGTCCGCGAACACGCTGGCCTTGCTATGCGGGGTCCGTGGGGAATGCTCTGCCATGGCCAACGCCTGTAGCATCAGGGTGGCGGCCACGGCCCAGCCGAGGGCCAGGGTCTCTCTCCCCATCACTCTGGAATGCAAAAGAGATGCACTGAGTTGTTTTATGGGAGGACATGGGTTTCCGCCAAGCTGGGACTGCCATGTCCCTTGGCCCCGTTGTTTTCNCATCAGGAAGGACATGTGGCTGGTTGTGGAGGGTGCGTAAGTCAAGAGAGAAGGTTTAAGGGCACTCAAAGGTGGAGGGGTGTGGCAGTGGAGGCTTAGTTCACAGGGCAGCCGGGAGGTTTAGACAAAGGCCATCAGCACAGCCTCGACAAGCCAACTGAAAGCTCCAGGATTTTGTTTGGCACCCCTCTCACTGGGAACCTCCAGCTGTAGCAACCTTGTCGTGTTTATGGTGCCTTCAGGCCCTGCGAGTGCTGGAAAGTTGTTTTCAAATTCTGGTCCCTTGGCTGGCTGGTAGACACCATCTAGCTGGATTTGGGGCTTCTTGGGGGGACCTGTGTTTTCAGAGGATCAGTCAGGTGGCTCATGAGGATTCTGGGGTCTCCCTGTCTTGAGCCAAGGTTGGGGCTTGAGTGGGGACACTGGCTGCTCTCCCTTCTGTGCCCTGAGGATGGGCCACCTTCCTGACCTGGGATGCTGCACACTTGAGAATGCTGGGGTTTCGTGTGAGCTGTTGGTGAATGCGTTCACAAAGGCTACACTAGGATGACACTTCTTGGGGCCACGTGCGGCTGTACGGTCAGACCAGACTTCGGGTCCCTGAAACAAGATGCCTACCTGAGGGAAGCCAACTTCTGCGGTATAGCATCCTCACACTGCGCTGCACTGTCTTCCTGGCCTGTCCCCCAGTGTGAGTACGGGTGTCTTGAGGAGGGTACTGTATCTTCCTCATCTTTGTATTCTTGACAAGTCATATTCTGGGGTTTTCTTCATACTTAAAGAAAGGAGGAACAATGAGAGGAATGCTGGGAAGTAGACACTAGGGACTAGGTGGGAAGGTTGGAAAGTGGTCACCTGCGACGACCACCAGGGACCTGGAGTTCCTAAGAGAAGGCTCTGAATTCTCTGGGGTTTTTGGGGCTGCTTTCTCAGGGTTGAAGCTCAGGTTCTTTGGCCATCTTGTTAGGTGGGGAGACAGTGCTGTCGTAGCCAAGGGAAGGGCCAGAATCATGACGAGGGCCAAGGGACAAAAACTCAACAGGGTGGGGGGAGGTAGGGTATGAGGAGTAGGTGTAATTTGGAGTTTGCATTTCCTAAGCAGTCGGTCACTCAGTCACTCAACAAGCAAGGCTGAGTACCCACGAAATGGAGCACACAGCACATACTATGAAAGACAATATGATGGTGGTAGGAGGCGGGGCCTTTGGGAGGTGCTTAAGTCATGAGGGCGGAGCCTCCCCATGGGATTATGAAAGAGACCCCAGAGTGACCCCTCAGCCTTTCCCACAGGTGAGGGCACAGCCAGAAGTCAGAAGTCTGTGACCTGGAAGAGGGCGCTCACTTGACTATGCTGGCACCTTGATCTCGGACTTCCAGCCTCCAGAGCTGTGAGCAATGAACTTCTGTTTATAAACTACCCAGTCTGTGGTACTTTGTTATTGCTGCTGGGAGGGGCTAAGACAATAGGCCACCAATTTTATTAGCATCTATGTCTTTCTAAGTTTGTCTTTCTAAGGTTTTTATTAATAAATATGAATGTCTATATTTATAAATAAATATAAATATATACATTTACAAATAAATATACCTCCTCTGTTCTCTTATACAAAAGTTAGCATGTTATATATATTGTTCTATACCTGTTTTCTTTTCTTCCTTGGTGCATCCTGAAGGTTTTCTCCCATCAGTACAGAGAATGTACTCCTTCGTAGCGTTTCTTTTACGGTCACCTAGGGCTGCTCTGTGTGGATGTGCCATGGTTTATACGGATCTACAGAGCCTGTCCCATAGATGGACAAGCGGGTTGTCTCCAGACTTTGCTATTACAAACAGTGCTGTGGTGAGTCACTGTGTCCATATATTTTTTTTCTGTGTTTATAGGTAGATCTCTGGGGTAAACCCCTAGAAATTGGATCAGTGTGTCAAAGGGTAAAGGTGTTGGCAGCTTTGCTAGAGTTTTCCACAGCGTCTTCCTATGCTTGCGTGCTTATCAGCGATATAGGGGAGTTCCCCTACAGACTCTCAAGCAGGAGCTGTCAGCCTCAGATTATTAAAACTGATCTGATGATAAATCTAGTATTTCAGCAGGTGTCATTTGCCTTAGGAACGGAGGTTTTTTCTGGGGGTGGAGTAGACCAAGGTGAACGGAGGCCAAGGCCATGTGCTTTCTCGTCTGCGTGTGTCTTACAGTGCGTGGCCTGGTTTGTGGCCTCGCCTGCTGTCCTTCCCCCCACAAGAAGCAACACTTGGAGTTGAGCCCTGAGGTGTTTATTGTCTGTGGGGCATGTGTTCAGATTTCTAGCTAGGAGTTAGCGGGGGGGCAGGGGACCCTTCACACAGGCCTGTAGGTCCCATTGTAGCTGAAGGGGGCAGGCGTCAAGCAGTTCCCATCCTCCTCGGAGATCCAACGCTGGACGTAGTTGGGGCCGTTTTCCCCAGGCCACACGATCACGGTGTCTCTGGACGCCAGGGATGGGTCCTCTGGGAAGAAGTTGAAGGGCCGGAGCAGGAAGCCCACGGAGTTTCCCGGGGTGGCCGTGTTGGGGATGTCCTCTGAGTGGGGGATGTGCAGGAA